ACGGTCGATTCTGGTCAGAAACGTTATATTTCAACCGAATTTCTGAAAAAATCTGAAAAAAAAAGAAAAATCTACATTTCGAAGCTTAAAACTCTCTAAGAATCTCGAGAAAAAAACGCCTAAACCACCAGACATCTTCTCCTTTCTCTCCTTGCATCTACGTTTTTTTTTTCTCGAAATCCCATTGAATATCTTCATTTTCGAAATGTAAATATTTGTGAATACCAACGAGAGAAAAAAGTAAAAGAAGCAGTGAAGAAAATGAAGAGAAAGAGTCTCTAAACGGGTCTCGAGTGGAAAAAAATGGAACCGGAAAAGAAGGAAAATGAAGCAGCCGACGTCGATCGGGGCTCGCGGCTCACTGTGTTTTCAGAGCAGTATATCTCAGTTGCCGTTGAAGCTAGCAAAAAGTGGTCAACTAACAAATTATTTGAGATTAGTTGACAAACATTTCTTTAGTTGACAACTTTTTGATAGCTCTAAAGACAACGGAGATATGCTCCTCTGAACATACAGTGTGCCAAAAATACATGGTTCGCTTGTACTGTGCACTGAAACTGAGGTAATCCTTCCCAAAAACAGGGTATTCCAGAAGAAAATGGGCGAAAAGTTCAAATTAAGCTCTACCAAAGTTTAAAAAACCCATAAAAATCGAACAAAAATAAGAGGAGCTGGACGTACGGACAAACGGACAAACGGATGAAAAATGTAGATTTTTCAAAGTAACTCTACCGCAAAAGCGATATTCCACCAGGCCTGAAGGTGTTGATATACTGACAAAGTGGAACCAAAAACTGACATATGTTCCAGGCTATAATATCCAAATCTTATCCAAATAGCCCCCCCCCTCCCTCCAAAAAAAGAAAAAACCAGTTATTTTGCAAGTTCATCTCTTCATATATCTATAAATGGACATATTATATACACTCCCCTCTAAGGAGGATAATCAAGGATAACCAGTGAAAGGGAAGAGGGAGAGAGAGGTGTTTATCAGTCAAGTGGAAAATAGGCTTTTTATTATGTGTGACCAACGAAAAGAGACGAAGGAAGTGTTCAGATTTTATTGGTTTTTAAAGGGATATGTGTTTTTATGTCTATGTTTTTGGTAGAATATGATACATGTTGTGTTGTTGTGATAAGAAATGGGGGAGAGAATGGACTATGGAAGGGACCTGAGGGAGTTTTGCTGTCTTAAAAGTAGCAGTGCAGAAGAAAGACATGCTAATCTTTAACCCTTTACCCAAAGCATATATGAAAGTCTGGCTGGATTTCTAGAAAATTATGTCTGTACGGATTTCCAGATGTCCACTCGAGCAAAAGCTAGTTCGACTATCCATCTTGATATCTAGCTGATTGTTAGACCACTGTCCGTTCAGATTTCCAGATGTCCGGCTGTCTCATTCACCTGTTAACTCATCAGTTTGCTTGATAGAACGTCTTCATATCCGTTCGCCTGTCACAATTTCTGTATATCCGTATGCCTTGATCAATTACTGCTTGGAACTAGAATCATCAGTTTTTGGTTTTTATCAAGTTTTTTTTTCTCAGAATTTTTAGTAGTACTTTTCCGAAAACTGTATTTTTTTTCTCAATTTATCATTATTCAATTCGACCGTATTGGGCTAATTATGGGGCCTATGAATTGAAACACTTTAAACTTGTAGATCAAAAAATTCTCTATCGATTGGTATAAATATCATACTGTGAAAATAATAAAGTTCCAG